ATAAGGCACAGGTCCACTGTCCAATCATGTTGGCTGAAAATACTACAGCCTGAGTGTACACAAACTTCCCCTGAAGCGGCTAGAAGTTGTCTTATGCCTGATGGTTTCAGGATCACCATGAATCATTCAAACACTGGGATAGTATGCTGTGTAGTTCAGGAAGAGCTGAGTGCCTGCTGGGTGGTATACTCTGGAGGGCTGCAGTGCTCATGGAGTCAAAACCACAGGGAGCTAATAAATGGCAGCTTCAGTACGAACAGCTGCTGCAGGAGTTGGAAATGTGAAGGAGGGAGGAGACAGGCACGGTAACTTACATGACAGCAGGGACAAGCCAATTGCTTCCCATTAACACAAAGTTCATCCCCTCAGCAGATCTGTGGAGAAGACTTCATCATATCTGTCCTTCTCTTTTTTTTTTTTTTTAATGACACTTCTGTGCAGCCATAAATGCTCTGTCCACAGACTTTATCTGGATAGAGACATCTCCTGATGGGCGGCCCTGGTGCTTCAGTACCATGTGGACCCCATGAGTTCCATTCTCTGCGAAATTCCACCAGAGAGTCCAAGATGTCCTCAGTTGTGGCCGCATAGGGAAGAGCTTGAGGGTGTATACAGTCTAACATTTGTAGGGGCACAAATTGCTGGGGTAGTCTTGGAATCATAGGAGGGGTTGGAAGTGGAATGAGTGGGGCCGAGGAGAATGGATTCAGCCTCAGTTCTTCTGAGGAGTTCAGTGTATCTTTTACCCAACAAGTCCTTATGCTTCCTGGATAGGTTCTGTGCATATTCCTCACAAGCAAAGAGGACAGAAGCATCCCCTTTGGCCTGCCACCTGGGCAGGTAACAAAGAGGATACCTTCCTTCCCTCCAGTGATGGGGCAATGCTGTTCAAAAGGCCACCACTGCATCAGCTGTGGAGGTTGAGTGGGAGCCCCTGCATGCGGACAATGAGTTGATTTTCCTTGGAGAGAAACTGGGCTGCCTCTTTGGATGTACCAGCAGCAATTTTAAGAAAAGCTTCACCTGATGCTTTGTAAACCTCAATGAACTGGGTTCTCACATGATGTTTGTGCTTATGTGGTGTTAGGTCTCTGTGCTCCTCACTCAAAAACATAACCAGAGCTTCTCTATTTCTTTGGCCCCAGGCATTCAGATAAAGTTCTGCACCTCCCTTTGCAGTATTGAGTCCTTTGAAGAATCTTGCACTATCTTGATCCAAAGACTGCCACAGTAAACCTCATGCCCTGACTGATGCTGTTTTGTCATTAATAAGTTCCACCTTGGGGCAAGTGCCACTTTCAAATTTGTAATTTATTCTCTCTGGATCTGAGAACTTGTGATTATAAGGGTTTGAAATCATTGCTAAACTTGTATCTTCAAACCCATATCCTCAACTTGAGAGGCGTCATACTGGGAGGCTGAACCACTCTGCTCAAAATTTAAACACCCTGTCATTGCTACAACATCCAGCTTATCAGTATCAGGTGAACCCAGGCAACACTTCTTGAATTCTTTTCGAAGATCAAAAAAGGAATAGAAGTGTTCAGGCAGTAATACATTCTTCTTGGACGCCTCAGAATGCAGGATTTGCCTGATTGAGGCTGCCTGTTAGTACAGGGACAGAAGAAGGTTCCTATTCCAATATTCAGTTCATTGCTCACTGACTGGTTACATTGTGCACAGGTGTTTAGTGCCCCACCCAATCCCCGATCCAGTGCCCATCAGCAGCCTGGAGCAGCGGGTTTTTAGGTCACCTCAATCCCAAGAAGGGGCTACCACTACTTTCACGGTGACCTAACAAGCAGCCCTGCATGTTCAGGCCTGCAAACCCTCCTGGCACTAGGATCAAGGCCACTAGATTCCGTTCTTCCCCTAACAAAGCTTATTTTTAGCTTTATGTTTCACACCTTGATTTGATTTAGTTTTTACTTGTAAGTCATTGGTTTGTTTAATTATACATTTTTAAAAATTCATAAACAACGTGTTTCTACTGTATACCACAGGGAACTATATTCAGTATCTTGAATTAACCTATGGTGAAAAAGACTATGAAAACAAGTATATGTATGTTCATGTATAACTGAAGCATTATGCTGTACACCAGAAACTGGCACATTTTAAACTGACTATATTTCAATAAAATATATATATACAAAAAATCAATAAAGTGGAATTGATTTTTCTGGTTACTTTCTGCTTATTGAAAGTGAGACATTTTTAATTTATAGTAGTGAAATAAAGTTTCCTTTGTAAATAAATACACTTTAACAAAAAATGACTCCATCTAAAGAAAAATATTACTAATGAGCGAGAGTGGATTAGGCAAATTTTGTGGTGGTACTGCTCAAATGTCAGATTTGGGGCAGGCTGTTCCCTTTTTAGCTGTGCTGCTTTGTGGTTCAGTGAGAGAGCTGGTGTGGGCTCCTCTGTAGCATCTTGATAAGATGGAGCAGCAAATAAAAAATAACAACAATGACAATGAACTGAACCTTTGGAAGCGTGTGCCATCAGACTCAACCACTCTCTTTCCTACTGTCTGCTGGCCAGCTGGTCATTCCTTCTCATTCACTGAAGATTTCAGGACCTGTCTTATTCTATGCCCTCCACATGCCACTTCTGACATCTTTCTTGACGATTTAACATCCTTTTAAATAATCTGTCTCCACCCAGGCCTCTTAGTTTCTTGATCCCCTTCAATGATTAAGACTTTCTCTCTACCTCAATCACAACCTAGGCTCCATCAATATCAACAGCTTGCACCATCTCCAAGACCTCAATTTCAAGCATCCCTCTCTTTGACTATGAGATGCTGGAGAGAGACCCATATCCTTGCTATCCAGCCTCTTTTTAAATTTATGACCACAGAACTCCCGACCAGAAAGCCTCTGCATTCTGCTAGTCATTTCACTCTCCACTCTTTATCCTTCACAAATTTCTAAGACCCTCTCCCTGACCTCATGTTCAGCTAACGGCCCTCCTTCTGGTTTCACTGAGACTCAATTCCATTGTATTGAGTCTCTGAGCAGCATTTGGCACCACTGATAACTCCCTTCTGCTCAGGACATTTCCTTTCTTTGGTCTTGGGATATCACCCTCTTCTGGGCTTCCTCTTCCTTCACTGCCCTTTCCTTCTCAGCAACCTTCTCTAGATCCTAAATGTTCACGTTACCCTAAGCTCCCCTCAGCTGACCTCTCTTCTCTATCTACACTCATACCCTAGGTTTAAATACAGCCAATCTGGAGGCTTTATGTATTACTTACAGCTGAGTAAATCCCAATTTAAATCCCCAGCCTCTGAGGTCTTCTGTCTTTCTGAAGCTACAGACTCATAGGTCTAATTGCCTATTGATATTTCTACTTGAAGGTCTAGTTTGCAATGTAACATGTCCAAAACACATTCACTTCTCCCTACTCCAACCAAAGTCTATTCCTCCCAATTTTCCCCATCTTTGAACGGCACCATCATTCACTCAGCTGCACAAGCCAAAAATCTTGTAGTTATTCTTGACTCCTTTCTTCCTGTCTCAGCCCACATCTAATTCACCTGCAAATCTCTCTGTTCTACCTCAGGAAAAAAAATCCCTAATCTGACCGTTTCTCACCACCACCCTCCTCCCTGCCCTGACCATACTGGTCCAAGTCACCATTTCTTACTATTTAGAATCCTGAAATAGCTTCCTAACAGGCTTTCCTGATTCCACTCTTATCTGGCTGTAGTCTATTGTCCAAACAGCCACCAGAGTGATCTTGAAAACACAAGCAAGTCAACTCACGCCCCAACTCCCAATTCTGAATTAGCTTCCCATCATACTTAGAAGAAAATTCAAATTCTTTATTAAGACCTTCTATGATTTGGCTCCCAACAAGCTCGCCATGCCCATTCCCTTCCACTCTTCATCTCACTCACTGCACTGCAGCCGGGCAGCACCCATGCTGTTTTTCTAACATACTGCCATCTTAGCACGTTTGCCCTTTCTGTACCCTCTGCTTGAAGTGTTCTTCCTCCATGTGGTCACCCGTCTCACTCCCTCACTTCATTCAGACCACACTATTATCTGCATCATTTCTATCCTTTCTCTGCTTTATTCTTCGTGTTTGTGTGTGAGTGTGTGTGTGTGTGTGTGTGTGTTTCTGGAACACTTCCTGCCTGCACCAGTCTTTTAGTTGGTTAGTTAGTTCACAGTTATGGACTAGCCCACTAAAAGCTTCATGATAATAGGGGCCCTGTATAGCGTTGTATCTCCATTTCCTAGTACAGCACCTGGCACACAGGAAGCCCTCCGAAAATGTTTTGAATGAATGATTTGCCAAAGGTAACGGGTCAAATAAGTGCATATCCAGTAGATTTCCATGGCCATCTGCTTCACGCCCTTTTCAACTCCAGGAAGACAGTGACACCTCACGGGGTTGAGGGACTCTCAGTTCTTTGGTCCTCCCGCCTAGTGGGGGAGTCAAGACTCAGCGAGCGGCGAGTGGGGATGGAGGAGCGGACAGGAGTCCCTCTCTATGGTCTTACTCCCCAGGCTCCTCCTCCCTAGCACCCGGCGTGCCTCTATGGTTCTTCCTGTCATTAGTC